ATATATATATATATATATGTATATATGTATATATATATATATATATATATATACATATAAATATATATATATATATATACATATATATATATATATATATATATATATATATATATATATATATATATATATATATATATATATATATATATATGTATATATATATATATATATATATAAATATATATATATATATATATATATATATATATATATATATATATATATATATTATAAATTAGTAGAAAATCACTTAACAAAAATTTATTTTATTTTACACTGTTTAATCAACAAAGACTTGTCAGAATATTATTGTTAAGTAATTTTCTACTAATTTATAATTGCTCTGTTCTTTTAAGAACATTGAGCACTCTATTTTGTAGAATACATTTTTAAAATTGTTTAAATACGTATATATATATATATATATATATATATATATATATATATATATATATATATATATATATATATACATATTTCCTTTCATTGACAATGTATGTGACCCCAAAAAAATGAGTTACATGCTTGAATACTTTATACATACTAATCGATAAAATAAATCTGATTAAACATATTGCAACACCCAAATTTTACATAACCAGTTTTTGTACCACATTTTTTCAAGTTTAAGTTTTGTCACAATACTTGGTGGCTATATTGTTTTCTTATTTTTTATAATTTTATGTGAGCATTGAGTTTTTTTTAAAATAAGAATAGTCAAACTTTTTTCACATTTTTTATTACACTGACAAACCATTAAATATTATTTATTGATGTCAAAAACTAGTTTGTTTTTTATTTACTTAGTAGGTGTTAAAGTTATGCAATTTTTTTTTTAAACCTGTAATTAATTTTTTACATTTTGATACCTAAATTTTCATTTTTTGAATTTGGGTTAGGGCCAGGGAGTTAAAAATAAATTATTATTTTTCTGAAAGTGAATAGTAAATATATATACACTCAAATGTCATTTTTTTATATAAATGTACGTTAAATAAATATTTATTTAACATTCATAGAAGCTGTTTTATAAATCTTATAATATAACTAAATTTAAGAAAAAAACCATGACTGAAGTTTTTAATAAAGAAAGTATTCAAGAAACCGGTGACAGTGATAATATCAACTAATTAATATAACTCCTCAATAACATTTAGATTGTTCATTACTTTTCATAAAATTTTCATTTGATCGTTTTAGTAATTTTGAACAGTATTTTACTATCTAGAAATATTATTTTATTATCTAATAATTGCTATTTGTATATAAAAGTTTTTATAGTGACTTTTTCTGGCATATTTTTTGAAATCTGAGTTTATAGTTTCATTTGTTGTTATATTTATTCTTTTTTTTTTTTTTTCTATAGACCAATTATAAAATATAAGTATAAATAAAAATAAAATTTAATTACATCACTTATTAAATCAATAAAAGTTCAATCTTATTGAATTTTTAACTTAATTTATTATCTTATTTATTTTATACAGTTTTATAACAAACAATAAAACAGTAAAATAAAGTTGAATGATTTGCTAATTTAATATTTTCTATAGTGGCTAACATTATGGGATTTTTATAGTTGGCTATTATTTGGTACTGACTGTTTGTAAGTAAAAATTGTTTTGGCTATAAACAAAATGTGGTTTACAGAGTCAAAGGTGATGTTCTTTTTTTTAGACAATAACAAATTACTGGGATTTATCATTTTATAGAATCGTGTCAACTGTCTTATTAATACTTGTATTTGTTGTATTAATTTTTTTGGTATTAGATGAAAATGCATTCTATAAACATGATCTTTAGTGAAGGAAATTTAGAAAGTTGTTTGTGTAACCACTTTCACTACGTTATGCTTGGGCTTTATACAAAGTCGTGAAAGTGGTTTCACAAACAACTAAAAATTGCAAATATAATTCAGGGGCACTATTTTGCAGACTAATAGATTGTTTTAGAAAACCTGTTGACCGAAATATTTTAAGATCTTTAAAAAAATTATGTTCCATGGATGAGTAGCTTATCAACGTGATTTCGGGAGATATTTTTAATTAATTCTATAAGAGATACTTTTACTGCAGTTTTGATCTTTTGCAAGCTAAATATTTAATTTCTTACAACATATTTTATATATAAAGCTTATTTGGTCAATTATACTTAAATACTTATAGGTAAAAAGTTATTTCAAGTATAAGTGCTCTTATTTGTTTTTAAGGTGTTTTAACGGATATACTTTGGAAATAAATAAACCAAACAAAATCAAAAACTAAAAACAGTACAAAAAGAAGTTTAAACAAAAATATAAAATAATTTTTCAATTGATTTTTATTTATTTAGGTTATTATTAGGGGCTGTCCATTTCATGTCAACAATTTTCAAAAATTATTTTTCAAAAATTTATTGACATAATTGTTGTCCTTGTCAACAGGGCCGTCCCGAAAAGATTTTAAAGGGAGGGGGTGACGTATGTGTTTTTTGTCAGAAAAATTTTTTGCCAAGTAACATCTGTGAAAAAAAGTTCCTCGTTGGCTAACATATACTGACTGCCAACTATTGATCTAACTTTGCCAATTGCAGTGTCCAAATTTGCCGACTAATTAAATTTCTAGGGTGCATTTCTATGCAACCCCTATAAAATTACGTTACATTTAATTTGCTTTCCTTCCCCCCCCCCCCCTCCCTCTTCTTCCTCTACCTCCTTTCTAAAAAAAAATTGAAATGGAAAAAAAAACTTTCTTTTTTTTCAAGTAATTAAATATATTTTTAAAAAGTAACAACTTTAACGTCAACATTTCTAGACCTTCTCCTTGTCAAACGTTGTCAAAAAATTTCAGACCCGTTTACAGTGAGCCAGAATTATCAATTTTGAGACAAAATTAATAACTAATATAATATTAGTACTGTATTTACCAAATTTAGCTAGAGTACCAAAATGAGGTCTGCGCTTCTTATGAAAGTGCTAATTTTTATATTTAATTGCTATTGATACCTAATTTTACATAGCAACAACCTGTTTCTGGTAGTTAAAGATTTTTCATTTGTGCTACTTACACTATATTTGGCATGTGTAATAATATGAGGCTTTTGCTTCTTATAAATTTTGCCGAGCAAATTTAGGTGGTGTATCTCCTATGGTTTACTAATTTTGCATAGCAGAACTAATTCACAATAGCAATATATTTATTTAAAATTTATATTAATTAAACAATTAATTTTTTTACACATAACCTTATAAATTGTTTCCTATAAACCCTAAATACAATAAAACTATACAAAACTTATAATAAAACAAAACAAGCAGAACCTATAACTTATATATCAGGACAACATAAAAGTTTTTAACTCAAGAAAAAAGAAAAAAAAAAAGGAGATTTTTATTCATTTTCTTGCTGTTTTTCTTAAACTGGACATCAATGAATCAGAAGTGCACAACAGTCATTTTATTACATATTCATTGTATTTTGATTTATTTATTTTTCTTGCAAGGTCTTGGCATTAACTCTTAAAATCGTTATTACAAGCCTCTTGAGTTTCTTCTGACATAAGACTAATAAGCAATATTTCCACTGTAAGGTATCCGTGTATTAATATTTTATGCAGACTTTGAGCATCTAGCACCAGGTGTAAGATTTAAAAAAATATCTGGCAGTTTTAAAACAATAACACTAAAATTTTAAAATGTCCAATTCAAAACCACTGTAAATTCAACAAAGTATAACATGCAATCTTTCAATTAGCTCTATATCAATTCCTGTAATTACTAAACTACGGAAATTGATATAGTGTTAATTTAATAAGTCTAATTTAAAAAAGCTATCCTTTGCGTTTTCAACAGCACCTGCTCTTTGATCTACTTAAAATCTACTCTGGTTGATCTACTTAAAAATCCAAGAAGCTTTATCCGAAAACCTTTTCTGAATTAAATTTTTTTGCTCCATTACTGAATTCTTTACTTCAAATGAACTTGCTTGCCAAGATTTAATTTTTATTTTATAGGCAAATTATTTTTATATGCAATAAGCATTCAAATCGTCTTATCTAAGCATGCAAGCTTGAAAGACAATACTGGAGAACGTGAGTGAAATGCTTTTTTTAATTAAATTTTAATTTCACTCATTTTTGATGGGCTACATACACTAAAACATGACTGACTAGTGTCAGTTGGAATAAAGCAGTGTGCACCTTTTCATCAATCATGATTTTAATATAATTTGTAACAGATATTTTTTGCCCTTTGAAAACAATGATGGATGGAATCGAACTTGCCATTTTATTTTTAACACTTAGAGGTCTACAATAAACGGTTTACAATGACTTTAGGCTTCTCCGTAAAATAACTATTTTTTTCATCAATTCTTGTAAATAGTTCTAAAGGAATAACATAATTCAAAAGTAAAGAATTTAGATTTAATAAATTACGAGAACTGATAACTTTTGTTTCTAAATCCTTTGAATAGTTAAACCATCGAATTTGTAATATTGAATTGCTTTATCAAACGGAAGACTCTTCATGCATTGAGAACTGATTATTAATGATAAATTTGTATATTTCAAAATATTTCATTATACAGCTTAAAAAAAGTAAACAATATAACGCGAATAATATTAAGTAGTTATATAAAAATAAAAGTATAGGGTTACTTTTATTTTTATATTATTACTTATTTTCATTCACTTAAGTGGCGACCTTAATATTAGTTATTTCCATACGAGTGAGAATGG